CATCCCTAAGAATAATAGAATGGCTAAGAAAGAACAGATAAGAAATTGGAATCCAATCAGTTCTATACTCTTTAAACGTGCCAACCAAGAGTTTTCTGGAAGTTTACAGAGAGGGTGTGATGTGATAACCATGCCCTGTTATTTTCTTCCCTCATTCAGGCTTAGTCTCTAATCCCAAGAGTTCCAATCCTCTTGCACTACCTAGTGATTGATAGTCCTTTTAAAAAATAATTAAAGCAGCAGCTATGCTTTAATTTCAGCATACGCTACCCTTAAACCATTCAGTGATCAACTTTCAATTCATATTTGCATAAAACAGAACTGAAGCCAATTTATTTTATCATACGCTTTCTCAAATATATAACACATTTTACTACTCACATTCATACAGTTCTCAGTGACTCTTACAAAGCAAAGTCTGATGAGCACAACCCCTGCCTGGCATAAAATACTGTGAGAACCAATTTTCACAAGGTCAGAGGCAAAAAGTTTGAAATCAGGTAAGTCCGTTCCCCAAATAAGGGACAGGTAGAAACTGTCCCTCCTATCCAAAAGAGTGATTTCAAGCCTTTTGCACCATGCACATGGGAGAAGAAAAAAATAAGCATAAGTAGAACCTTGATTTCATTATAAATAGGGCTTATTTTTGTTACCTGGCAATTGCTATAATTCTTTCATAATAGCTTCATTCGCTTTGTTATCATAAACCTTACAAGAGATTTGCATCCTTGAATATTTGCTTGTGCCTGCTTCTAATTCTAGTTGTTATTGAGAGAAGCCTGATAGCTGCCAACATTTTGATCATAGTCACCTTTTTTACCCTTTCAATCAGAATTCTACTCAATAGCTTCCCAGGCATTCCCCTTTACTTTTTATGCTTGTCCTTTTGTATAGAGGAAGAATAACGTTTATTCAGTTGTCAGACCCAGATGCAGTCCTCACACACATTTTAAATAAATTGCACAGCCATCCATAAGCATATCACAGCCTATATTTTAACAGTTCTCCAGTAATATCATGTACACTGTATACTCACAATTTTTCAACACTATAACACAATGTATTACTTCCTTTTTGTCTATTTTTTCTTGGACACCAGGATTTATAGCATTCATTTCAATTCTACTTTTCAACATATCACTATCATTCCCCTATCAATCTCCAAAATGTTCATTTCAGCATTCCCTCCCTTCATTTTATTCCAAATAATTTCATAACTTTTATTTTTCATTTCCATTTGCTCTGTGGAAACTGCTTGGTTAACCCTCTTCACCCACTTCCACAGCAACTTTTTATTTCCATCATAAGAATTCATTTTATCTCCCTCTTTTAATCTTAACTGCTCCTTGGTCTCAGACTACATTCTTTGCAACTGTCTTTTTCCTTTCTAAGCCTATGATACAATATCTCAATCTTCCTTTCTGCAGCAATCATTCTTTTGAAAGCAATTTTTCTTTATCCATAGCCTCTGTAACTTCATCATTCCACTAAGCATTCTTTTTCATATTTCCCATTAGTGTAAGTATGCACACTTTTGTAGCACTCTGCAACATAATATTTTTCACTCTGTTCTAAATAGCTTCCTCTTTTCTTACATGAGCTTCCATTCATTCTGTTGTCACATTAAACTACCTTCTAATAGTTTTTCATACAGGATTCATATTTTCTGTGCCTTCTCATCTTCTTCCCACCCATGTATTTGTGTCACAAGCATAACTTTTTCCCCTATGGATTGCATTCATTCGCAATTGGATGTACAATTTTCCCCAAAATTCACCTCTGGTTTTTTGATTATCACTGTTCCTTGGAGCATAACATGCAGTTATTATCAACCTATGAATCCTATTTTCATACGCATCCCCAGCAACTCATATGACACCATATTTTCTGACTTTCTTCCATTCATTTTTAAGCATTCTTTTTATTACTGTTATTAGTGTAATAGCCCTACAGCTAGAAGAAATGAAAGAAAAGGTACTGTTTCCACAATTCTAAAAAAACACAAAAGAAAAGAGTTTTAAACTAAAAATTATGGCTTTGGTCAATCTTCATATAACCTTTTTTAGTAAGATAGATAGCAGCCCTAGACATACTAGTGCCAGATGCAGCTTTCCCTGCTAACAGTACGAACAATATCTCCAGTTTTGGCAGATTTGCCATAAGCCCAGCCAAAGCTCTTAGCAACCTCACACATTTCTATGCAAGGTAGGATCTCTAATCTAGAGACTGCCAACATACTGTTTCCTGGATCCCACTAGCTAAGATATATCTGCAATGTGCTGATACACACACCGGATGTTCTTTTATTGAAAACTATCCAGAGAACAAGATGAATAAAGCTGGATCAGGACAAAAAGTCCATTGATTCCGACATCCTGATTAATCCACAGTGGTCAACCAGAGGCCTATGCAAAATCTATAAGCAGCAGCTCATATGTCCCCAAAATGATATTAATTATTGTACTGGTCCTGTTCCCACTTGTAATTTACTACAGTGTAATCATGCCCTGACAACCCCCATCTTATCCCACAAATCATCTTTAAATATACTGGTAATAAGCAGCATTTTCCTCTTAACCCACACTATCTAACATGTTCAATGCTTGTAAAATCTGTAATGCTTTATCACCTATTTCCTTGGAGGCAATGATATTAATTTAATTAATCACATTTATATAGCTGCCCATTTCACATAGTGACTCTGGGGGGGCGTACATAATAATCAAAATACATAAAAAACCATTAAAACAACCAATTTAAATTAAAAACAAGTAAAAAACAAGTAAAAATGGTGGCAAAATATATAGAGAATGTATACCGTTAACTGTCATACAGCCATCTGGATTAGGGCCAGCCTCACCTCAGGGGGAATGATGTTCCACAGGGCAGGGGCCACGGCAGAAAAGGTTTTCTTCCTAGGTCCCACCTGACAAAACTTCCTGATCAACAGGACGCACAACATGCTGTGGTTATTGCCAGAGGTGTGGGTAGTTGGTATTGCCAGAGGTTGTGGGTGTTGCCAGAGGTGGATTTTGAGAAATGTGTATTGTATGTATTTCTTTCTCAGCTGTTGCCCTCTCATTCAGTACTTTGTTTTCTGAATTTCCTATCAACTTCCACACTCCACGTTTTTTTATTTTTACCCTTTTTACCTTTTAAGGTAAAAGGGCAGAGTGCAGACCTCTACTTTTAATTTTAATACATGTTAATCTTTATTACTGAAGACTGTACAGAGTCTTGGGAGATGAGGAATATATCAAGTTATGTAAATAAATTAATAGATAAAAACAGGGGGCACAATAGTACAATGTTGTTTTTTTAATGCCATTTCAGTTGTATTCTGAAATGTTATCAATGGGTCTATTTACTTCTAGATGCGGTAACCTGACCTTTGCCGATTTCAGTGACCAGAAAATAACAGGCTGTTGCTGCTTATCTGTCAATTTCAGTTTTCCCACTCTACAGGATAGAACTAGTTGCACAGAAGTCATGCTATTCCCATTCATGCTACAGTATCTTGACTAGCAGATGCTTTGTTCACTGAAAGGAGAAGGAGACAAAGCCAGAGGAGAAGATTAATTACTTTGTCTATAATCTTTGGTCAACTCACAATACCATTCACAGTCACCTGGAACAGATGCAGTAGAGCCAAATAGGGTTTTGCAGTGATTTTGACTAATTACATGCTATTAGGTGGGTGTCTGGCAGGAGAGGCATGTTGTGGGTCCTGTCGAGCAGGGAGTTTTGTTGAGTTAGGAAGAAAGCCTTTTCTGCCATGGCCCCCGCCCTGTGGCACATCATTCCCCCTGAGGCGAGGCTGGCCCTTGCAACCCTTTTGGCCTCCTGGAAGGCCCTTAAAACATGGTTCTGTCAACTAGCTTGGGGATCCCATGATAGAGAGGAGCCTGCTAGACAGCTGTATGATAGTTAATGGTATACACGTTCTCTATATATTTTGCCACCATTTTTACTTGTTTTTCACTTGTTTTTAATTTAAATTGGTTGTTTTAATGGATTTTATATACTTTGATTATTATGTACACCCCCCAGAGTCACTATGTGAGATGGGCAGCTATACAAATGTGAACCTTATGGATTTTCCTCATCAGCCTATGAGAAAAGAGGGCCATCGCTTTGCACACAGAGGTTCCAGGTGCCATTCCTGGCATTGGCGATTTGGGTTGGGAAACAATGTTGCTTGAAATTCTGGTACCAGTTAGTGTGCAACATATGGGCTGGATCAATGTTCTGACTTGACTTAAAAGCAGTTTCTCTATTCTGTCTAACTTACCCTTTAGGGTTGTTTTGATAAAATGATAGCATATGAACCCTTGGAAGAAAGATGACGTTTTCCTTTCTAGCGTGGTACCCTCCTGCTGCACAGGACTTCAGTGAAATCCCCCCTCTAGCATGGCCAAAAGTGTTGTGGGAGTTGAAGGATGGGAAGTGTCTATATGAAGCTGACCGGGGTGGAGATGAAGGAGACAAGGTATCAGTTGATACCCTTCTGCTGCTAATCAGGGAGGAAGAAGCTATGGCCCTCTAGAGCAGTGTTTCTCAACCCTGAAGATGTGTGGACTTCAACTCCCAGAATTCCCCAGCCAGCCAGCTATTCTGGAAATAGAAGTCCACACATCTTCAAGTTGCCGAGGTTGAGAAACACTGCTCTAGATATTGCAAAACTCCACCTCCCGCTGACCACGCTGGCTGGGGCTGCTGGGAGTTGGAGTTCGACAACATCTGGAGGCGCACCGGACCCCTCATCCCAGGACGCAGGCGGCTCCTCCCGGGGGCAAAAAAGGCACCTCCTTTCTTTCGACCTCCCAGCGTTCCCCTGGTCTTGGTTGTACCTCGTGAGCCAGGGTTACGGCTGGAGCCAGCAAGGAGCTGGGAACGGCCTCCCCCCGCCCCATTTTCCCGCACTCGTGCTTTCAGCCAATGAACCACCCAAGGGGGCTGGTCCAAGTCACGTTATAAAGAGGCAGGCGAAAAAGAAAGGAGGTGACGGGGTGCGCGGGGTTCCAGTCTTCCCAGCGATAGAAAGGGGCTGCGTGCGCGGTCGGGCATCAACCATGTGCGGTGAGTGAGCGAGCGAGCGAGCGAGCGGAGCTGGCTGATTGCCAGCGGCTCCGCGCGGTTAGAGCGGCAGAAGGGCTGCACATCTGGGCCCAAGGCAGGGGGTGCCGCTGTTCGGAACGATGGGGGGGGCGAAGGAGGGACAGAATGTCTGCCATGTAAAAGCTCAGTCGTTCCAACCGAGTAGTAAGATCAACCTGTACCCTTAGGGGGGAGCACCGCTGTCTTTTGCCCGGTGGTCGGAAAGGAAATGGAAGCTGAATGCCTTCCCCCTCCAACATTGCCCCCCTCCCATATAAAAAGGCACAGAAGGAGACGTGCTTATAAGCCATGCTTCCCTCTCTATTTCTTCCTTCCCCGTTCCCCTCCTCTTTTTCCTTTCCTTTCCTTTCTTTTTTTTTTCTTCCTTTCCACTGCTCTGCCCCTCCTTCCTGTGGGTGGCCATTGGAATAGGACGACCTAGCCATGTGCTTACTTAACTTTCCTCCTCCAGCATCCTCCTTTAGTTTTTGGTGGACTACAGTAGTTTCAGCCAAACTCAAGTTCTGCCCCATAGCTCATTGGGTTGATGCGTCTTCTCAAAGGTAGTTACATTGTGAGAGCACGAAAGCAGTTGAGGCAAGAACATGCCATTTCCTTCTAGCCTTTGGTCTGAAATGTGTCTGCAAGGTAATGGATACCGTAGAAAATCTAACTTCTGTTTGTTACCAGAACCAATTTTTAATGCAAGTGAAGGCTGACAAGCGAAACTACTCCAGGGTTATTTGCTAGCTGTTAAACTTTCGTTCAGGATTCTTTTTGTTTTCCTTCTCCAAGTTCCATATTTGGTGAATATTTCTACTTTTTAAAAATGCTTTTACTGGGTCATCAGCAGAGTACCCATTTAAAATTATTTTTGTCTACTACAGTGAGATTTTAGCTTCAGGAATTATTTTAGCTGAGACAAATCCTGCTTGTTGGGACAGTTCAAGTGTTGCACTTTCCCTCCTGGACTGCAGTGTATTGATGGCAAATAGGTCCTCAGACTAAGCTAAGTTAACGTTTGCACATCATTGCTCAAACTGCATTTCACCAGAAACAGCAGGATTAGCCCTTTTCAAATGTGAAAAAGGTGTTTGAATTCTACATGCGCAGGGTGGTGGTTCCAGTAAGCGCAGATGAAGCCTTCCACACATGCAGTTTCTGTTATGTGTTAAGCTGGGATGAAGATTTCTGTCCCAGTTCCTTACAATGCCTGTTCATTAAATGCACTTCTAAGCACCTGAAAAGGACAAAACTCCTATGATGGTAGCATAATATAGAAGAAAAAGGGAATGGTCTCCATAAATATAATATAATGAAATTTAGTAAAATAGGTTGTTTGATGGTGAGTAGGTGTGGATTACAACTGAGCCCATAAATAAGGTTTTGGATGGAGAAAATCAATGAAACTTCTTTTAAATTTTTATATTGGAACAGGAAATCAGCTTCCTTCCAGACAGTTAAGCTATGTATTTTCTTTGCAATGTGAGTAAGAAATGGTTTTGAGCTCAAAAAGATGGTTTTGTTCTAGAATAATTGACCCATCTAAATTGTTCAGAATGAGTTTTTGTGCTCAAGCTGATCAGGAATGTCTTGTTCCTGATCAGCTTGATTGTCCCTTAGTTACCAATTCAAGACCTATAAACAAACATACTAGAAATCAGAAATAGGGATGTTCCACTCCTCAACAAAGTGCTAACCAAGACATTGTATGGCTGAGTCAGAATAGTATGGTAAGGGTATGGTGTGATTTCAAAGTAGTTCCCCATTATTGATGTAGAAAAGTTTGGTGAGGTAAAATAATATATAAATCAGAACTCTGTTCCAAAAATGTTGCTGGAAATGGTGAAGGGAAACTTCCTATTTTTGGATGAAAATTTCTTTAAAATATCTCCATCCAAACAGAATAAATAATAAAGTATGTGTGACATTTCACCTTTTTATATGTTGTTATACATAGCAATCGAGTTGTATATAATTAGCATCATAAATTCTAAGCCAGACTGGCCTTATTTGTATCAATCCTTTACTCCACATGTGGAAATATCAGTGAGTTTAGTAACCTTATCAGTGAGAAAAAGCGGAGGTTTCTAAGTCAGTACATTATTTTAAAGGGAGGGATTCCTAGAACATTAGAACTTTTGTGCTTGGTTAGACAAAAGGGCCATAAAGTCTAGTACTGGTGCAGTCTTCTTCATCCAGGGGACCTTCAAATGTTTTGAGGCTACCGCTTCCAGAATTCCACAATCAACAGAGTCCCCAGATGTGGTTGGACTATAATCCTATTATTCCCAGCTACCACAACCAATGGGTGTAGCCGATAGGAGTCCAACAGTATCTAGGATTACAAAGTTGGCCACTATTACATTATATTTTAGATGTATGTCCTGAACTTCCTCCAAGAGTTCAAGGTACTGTACATGGGCCTTCATTCCTCAGTGAATAAGCCTAGCATTCCACTTCCAACCTTGTAGGCCTTTGAAGTTTATGAGCATGGCATGCTCTCCAGTATGTTTCCTTCCTGACCAATTATGGTTGGGACGGATTCTTTTTAAGATATCTTTCAATTGTTTTAAAGGGTAATTTTCAGCCAAGTGCCTAAAGGTGATCAATAGGTGCATTGCACATTTGGAGATTGAGGAATTTGACTAATTAACTGCAAGAGAATACAGGGTCACTGTTTTACAAATATAGAATGGAGGAGGGACCTCAATCCATTTAAAAATGGAAACTTTTGTAAAACAAGGAAGCAAAATAGTTACGAGGAAGCCTAATTATAGGCAGAGATGAGTCCGCTCAGCATATTGTCTTCATCATGGAAAATGGATTTCTTGGTGGGGATGTGACCTTTAACATAGTGAGCAATGCATCATTTTTCCCTAACATGGCAACCCCTAGATTTGTTTGGATTAAAACTCCCAGGATTCCTAGACAATGGCTGAGGAATTCTGAGAGTTACAGCCCAAATACACAAACGCTTGTTTGAAGAAGCTTAAGTACATACTTAAGCAACAAAGGTAAGGAAAGGAGTGCTGAGCTTACTTGTTAGGCTTGAAATATAAAAGGATCCTATCTTGATTCTGGTAAAATAAGCACTGACATTCTTGTGGAATTTCCCCACTCGGGTCTTTTTTTACCAACCAGTTGCATTCCTGAAAGAGGAAGCAAGAACTTCAAAGTCTTTTTAGGATATTAAAGGAGGAGTCTCAAAACAAAGGTTAGCTTGTATCACTTCTAGCTCACTCTCTGCTTGAGCTTCTTCTTTTTTAAGTGTCACAGCAGAGATGCTTTCCCTCATTCATTTTTGGAGACTAAGAGTCTTTCCTGGGTGAAATTGTTTCTGTGGAATCATTTTAAAACAACTCAATCCATTTTGTTTTTATCAAACCCAGTGATTAGGTCTTCTGTAACTAAAAGTATTAAGTACTTTCTTATCTCTTGGATAATGAAAACAACAACATGCTGAAGAGAAAAGATTACAAGGTCAAAGGGGAAGTGGTCTAGTTAACAATAAAAGTTTATCCTCTGGATAATGATTGTACTACCCATTATTCATGTTTGTGTATTTGCCATAACTAGTTTGTGCCACAATAAAATGCCTATTTACACGGCCACAAAGCTTTTTATAACTTTTCTATAGTCTGAACGTTAATTAAAAACTATACATTTTTTAAAAGTGTCTAATTTTAAGTGTTTTTAGTGGTAATGTCACTGCTTTTACAAAGCAGTAATAGCATTTAAAAGGTGCTTAAAACTAGACAAGAAACTTAAAACATGTATCAATCTCCAAATGGTATTGCAAGATTTAAAAAAAATACTTCAGTTTTAGGGAAGAAATAGGGTATTGTCAACCATAGTTAACATTTGTGATTTACGTTACAGTAAGGAAAAATTCAAAATCTTATTTCTTTTGCTGTACAGACCTTTGCTCATTGTGAATTTAGATTTTGGGCTGTTCAGGTTTGATTTTTATCTCTTGTAACTTCAGGATGATTTATTGTACAATGCAAGCTATTTCCAAACCAGCCTGAGCAGCCCTTAAACAAGAGAGGCCCATCTGTTTATGGAAGGAGGAAAATGAGGAGGGGGATGCTATTAGTCACACCTACTATTGAACCATGGAGTTAAGAACATATATGTCCAGTGGTCTGAACTTTAACTTTGTGTTGGATTGTGACCTTTATGTTTTGAAAGTGAACAATCAATACATTTAATGGAAGGCCCAAGGGTATGTATATGATGAAACGAAACTTTCTTTCTTACCGTCTAAATAACTGTAATATATTCCTTGGCAGTCTAGACTGCTGCTATCATTTTCAATGAAAAGTCTCCAGTGGCCTCTGAGTTTCCTTGTATGCTTAAATAGGAGCATTGCTAGAGTTCAGTATAAACAAGGAATCTTTACCAAGCTCAGCACACTGGCTTCTTTGTGGATAGATCCCGCAAAAAGACCTTTCCTGGAGAGACCAAAGCATAAAAACACTGCCTCAACTCAGGACCCTGACAGATCTTTTATAAATAAAAGATCTGCTGTCTGTCTAAGTTATAAAATATTGATTTACAAAAATTGAGGATGTGTGAAAACGTTTGAAGTATTTAAAATATTGCTCTGAAAAAATAGAAAAGAACTTGAGCTGAGTCCATGGGAAAATTGTTAATAGCCCTAACCTCAGGGGATTTTCGTGCTGGGCTGGGGCAACTTTTCTGTTGTGGTTCATGCCAGCAAGCAGGATCTGGTAGGTCTTACTAGAAATCTCTCTAACAGATCTGTGAAATACTAGCTATAGTCCAGAGTTATCCAGATCAGTTCTTGGTTAAATTCTGACTTAGGCTTGTTTATCTACCTTTGGGAAGGTACAGAATAGCTGCTTAACTGTGGTTCCAAAAATACACAACTTTATGGTACTAGATACTATAAGACCTGATTAGTAAAATATTTATGTTTTCTTATTTTAAAGGAGACTTTGGCCATATCAGAAATAAGCATTCAGCCAAAATGAATTGATCAAATATAATCAAATAATTGTCAACATTTAAAGGGTTAAATTTATTAGGCAATAATATTCTAATTATCCTTTTTGCTAATTAATCGAGTTACAACAATAAAATAGCTATCTTTGCGGCAAATGCCACCATGATGAAATAACTGATAAGCTTTTATCTCAATTGGCAAACTTGGTTTCATGGGAATATTTGGCAATTTGTATGTATATGTGCCTTTGAGTCAGTTTTTGACTCCTGGTGACTGCCTGGACTAATCCTGCAGCTTTCTTGGCAAAGTTTTTTGGAAGTGGTTTGCCATTGCCTCTTTCCTAGGGCTGAGAGAGTGACTGACCCAAGGTCACCCAGCTGCTTTGTACCTAGAGTGGGGCTAGAGCTCACAGTTTCCTGGGTTCTAGCCGGATGCCTTAACCACTACACCAAATAGGCTCTCTTTAGGATTTATAATTAACAAGTGTACTAATCCTACACCTATCTTGGATTTATTGTGTTCTGAGCTGGGGAAGAAACCCATGGTACTGATTAAAATTGGTATGCTAATCTTTTGAGTAATTAAATTGGGTTATATTATTTTAAACTGGAATAATTAAGAATGAAATCATATTAACTTATGAGTGGCAAAAATATTGGCATATTAGTATTTCATTTTTTTATTATCCTCTTTTCAACAGGTATCTTTGCTTATTTGAACTACAGAGTACCACGGACAAGGAAAGAAATATTTGAAACACTGATAAAAGGACTACAAAGACTAGAATACAGAGGATATGACTCTGCAGGTGTGTAAAATATTTTGCAGTGGACAGGGACAATTATTGTCATCTTGTTTCTATTGCTTTTCCAAAAGCATTTTAATAGCAGTCTCTGAATAGAATTAATAATTAACCCAGCCATTATGGCTTAGATAATGTAGCTTGTGGTTTAATGTTATGTGTGAACTTATTGTGGCTTATTTAACAAACAGTGTTAAAAACAAGCCATGCGTTAGTACAATGTATGAAGCCTGCACCTGCAAGGAAGATGGGAGAATTCTGTCTTTTCTATAAGAAAAATTCCATTCTCATTTAATATTCTTTTAATATTTGAGCAAGTGAAAGCTTACGTAAGCTGTGTTTGTGTCACACTGAGTTAGATTTCTGAAGAATTCTTACAGTGAATGGAACAGCACCTTCACTTATCTCTTCCTGCAGCAGCTTGTAATTCAAGAATCAGAGACTTGTAATATGCAAATCAGTGTTAGTTTCATTTTGTTGAGATGTATTGTTCTTGGGCAATTTTTAAAAAATATACTGCTGAACCTAGGACACGAGATACAGATAAACTTACAAGACAATCTGATACAGAGTTTTATTTTTTTGTAATAACTTTAGCCTATAGAATCACTTATAACAGGCCAGATCAACTTATATACAGGTCAGGAAGCCAGAGTATGAACAGAACATGATGAAACAGACTGGCTCCAAGTTGGCAAAGGAGTGCAACAAGGCTGTATACACTCCCCTTATTTATTCAACCTATTTGCGGAATATATATTAAGGGAAACTGGATTGGAAGAAGATGAGTGTGGTTTTAAAATTGGAGGAAGAAACATCAATAACCTTCACTATATTGATGACACTACCCTGATAGCCAAAAATGCAAAGGATTTGCAAGCCTTAGTACTAAAAGTCAGAGCACAGTGAAAAAATGGGACTAAAATTAAATATAAAGAAGATCAAACTAATGACAACAGGTGGAACAACCAGCCTTAAAATTGACAATGAAGATATTGAAGTGATGGATAGCTTCTGCCATTCATTCATTCATTCATTCATTCATTCATTCATTCATTCATTCATTCAT